CAAGAAGCTTATCATCATTTCTAAAACAAATAGCTGGAATTACTCTCTAGCTTCGCTGCTTCGCTCTCAGGGAAGCTCTTAGGGGGGCCGGAATTTCTAGCTCATCGATGCCGAAGAGCTCTACGAGGTAGCTCAACTCCGCGCTGGAGTTCCTCCAGCTCATCGATGCGGACGAGCTCTACGAGGCATTTCTCCGAAATTGTCAATTCGTTAGAAATCATTTCTTTTTCTTAATATCCGATCCTATTTCCGCTCGCCATCTCGATCTCCGGTCGATCCATGCATGTCGCCGTGAAAAAGCATGTGGGCGGGATCAGTCGTCTAGTGTCGTCTACAGGTGATGTCGGTTTTCTGGAACTCAACTCGAGCTGCAGCAAAGATGCATAGCTGGCAGACGCGCTTAATACATCTAGAATCGCCAGGCGCGTTAGTCTTAACTGGGAGCCGGCGGTAAACCGTCAACCTTGGTTACCGCCGGGAACTCGTGGAGCTTCCTTGGGAATGCGGGCGTGGCAATCTCGCATTCCGCGCGCGCGAGGATGCGGTTTCATGAAGGAAGACGCGGAGGTAAAAAAAAGAGTGAGGAGGAGAAGGGCTGAGAAAGAGAAGGAGAATAAGAAAAAGCAGGCGGAGGAGAAAGAGAGGAAGGAGGAAGAGAAGGATGAGGAGCAAGAGGGGGAAGGGTGGAGAGGGAGGAGAGGCTCCTGGTGATTCTCTTTCGGCAGCTGTGCCAAACAGCTCTGTGGCTCATCTGAAGCTCGAGTTACATCCCGAAACTCATCGTCGTCTCCCAAACTAGCAAAGTGTGAGTAGTTTCTCGGACGCAGCTCTGTTAGCAGACCGAGTTCGGGCATCTAGATACTTTAGACTGGCGCGCCTGAAGAGTCTCTTCCGATTGCTGTGCCGAACAGCTCAACTGCAGCTCAAGTTACAATCTGAAAACTCAGCATCGTCCCTCGAAACTAGCAGAGTACAAATCGTGTTTCGGACCCAGCTCTGGTTGCTGATCGAGTTCGGATATCTAGTTACTTGACACTAACGCGCCTGATGGTTCTAGATCGATTAGGTGTGCCTGCCAGCTCTGCCGCTTTCCCACAGCTCGATTTACGCTAAGAAAACGGAGAGCACCTGCCAATATAACAATAAACAGCCCATCCCGCCCACATGCTTTTTAATGGTAATATGGACCCGATCGACCTGATATTAACATGGCGAGCGGGAATATGATCGAATAGGGGAAAAATGCTAGAGTTCTAACGAATGTTCAAATTTCGAGAAATTCTATTGACATTGGCTAGCTGGGAGCCGGCGGTGAACCGCCTCTTGGGGCCTTTTGGGGGTCTCTTGGGTCCTTTCGGGGGCCTCTTGGAAGCTTCTTTTGGCTTCCTGGGGGCCTCTCCTCGTGGGTCTCTGGGAGACTCCCGGGGGCTTCTTGGGGGCTTGAAGTTGGCGATGGCCCGAAATTCGGTTGGTGTTCCCCTCTGGGGGCCCCCTCTTGGGGCTTTCTTGGTGTTCTTTTCGGCCGTCTTTGAAGCCTCTTGGGCCGTCTTTGGGCCCTCTTGGGCGGTTTCGGCGCTCTCTTGGGGGCCTCTTGGCACGTCTTCGGGTCATCTTTCGGGTCAACCAGGTTGCCGCCGGGGCCCTCGTAGAGCTCTGGAATCACGAAATTGTGCTTAAATTCCGACGAACAAATCCAAGTCAATAGCAGCTTGAAATATTGAACATGTTCTGTATCATTTTAAAAAGTGCATCCCGGCGGCTGATGGTTCCTCCACTGGGGGCCGGCGGTGAACCGTCAACCTTGGTTTCCGCCGGGAACTCGTAGAGCTTCCTCGCAATGCCGGCGCGCGCGAGGGTGACGAAGATGAGAAGAAGGAGGAAGAGAAAGAGGAGAAAGAGGACGAGGAGCAGATGGAGGAGGAAGAGGAGTAGGTGAAAGAGGAGAAGGAAGAGGACGAGGAGAAGAACTACGCAACGTTTTTTGTTTCAGTTCTGGTAGCACGCCTATTTCAAACATCTAGGTACTTGCAACGAGCGCTCCTGATGATCGTTTTTCAATTGTTGTGCCGACTGGCACTAAACTCATCTGCAGCTCGAGCGACATCAAGACAGGCATCGTTATCTCTGAAAGAATTAGCCGAGTACGAACATTTGTTGATTTCAACTCTGGAAGCAGACCCAGTACGGGCATCTAGTTACTTCAGACTAGCGCGTCTGATGATTTCATTCCGCTTGCTGTGCCAAGCAGTTCTGTATCTCATCTGCAGCTCGAGCTAAGTCAAGACAGCCATGATCATCTCCCCAAAAAATATCAGGATACAACAGTTTTTTTTCAGACACAGCTCTGGTAGCAAACCGAGTTCGGGCATCTGAATACGTTAGACTCGCGCGCCTGATCGTTCTCTTCCGATTGCTGTGCCGCACAGATCTCTAGCTCATCTGCAGCTCGAGTTACATCGAGAAACTTATGATCATCTCGAAACACATGAGCAGAGTACGAAAAGTTTAGCGGATCCAGCTCTAGTAGCAGACCGAGTTCAGACATCTAGATACTTCAGACTAACGCGCCTGATCATTCTAGATTAATTAGCTGTGTCTGCCATTTGTAGCTCTTCTACAGCTCGAGTTAAGCTAAGAATGCCGACAGCACCTGCCAAGATGACACAACACAGCCGATCCCACCCCGATTTTTTTGGCAGTAATAGGTACCCAATCGACTTGATATTGAGATGGCGAGCGGGAGTATGATCGAATCTGAGGAGACAAAACATATTAGAGTTTTAACGACTTGTGAAATTTCGAGAAAATCAAGTTTCAGAGGTCAACAAAGAAAAACTTCTGTCGATATTTGTTTGCCAACTAGCCCCCCGGCGCGCCGGAATTACTCTCTAGCTTCGCCGCTTCGCTCTAAGGAAGCTCTACGGGTCACGTTTTTGACCAGTAATAGCAGCTACGGGCCTGAGATTTTGACAGACAGACGCGGCAGAACCAGCTACACGTTACAAACATACTGGTTATCGAAACGAATATTCAAATCTCTCACGATCTTCGGAAAATCGACCCCAGGTGATCACACTTGTTGGCGTCCAAAATCCGGATAGCCGAGCAGTAGAACTCACGGCGGCCCTGGCACCGTCGGGCGTGGCTGCGAACGGAAGCAGGTGAAATCACAAGGCCGCTGCTCGCGCACGTAGCAATCCAAAGGCACGGCAAGCCTCGCCATTATTCGTAATAGTAATATGCTGTGGTTTGAGCCGGCGCGCGCGCGGGGGGAGGTAGAAGGAGGGCGCGCGCGGTCGTCGTTCTCGTCGTCGCGCGGACCCTCCCCTCTCTCTGTACCCTCCTTCTGCTGCTGCTTTCCCTCTCTCTCTTTCTCTTCGCTGCCGATCCTGTTCCCCCTTCGACTTCCTCTCCTGCTCTTCCTGCCGCTCCCGTTTCTGCGCTCCCTCCAGCCTGCGTCTGTTCGTGCTCCGCCTTCTGCTGCCGCTGCTGCAGCTGCTCCCGCTTCCGCTCCCGCTTCTCCCCACTCTCCTCCTTCTTCTCCTTCTCCTTCTTCTCCTGCTTCTTCGCTCCCCCTTCTTCCGCTGCCCTCGCACGAGCAGTTTAACGACTTGCTCAGGTCAGGTCGCGAGCCCCGGGTCTTCGCCCCGGAGCCGCTCGCGCGCCCTGGGTCTCGTCCCCCAGGCCGCAAACCCCAGGTCTTCGCCCTGGGGCCGCGCACGCGCCCCAGGGTCTCCCCCTCCTAGGCCGCGCGCCGCGTAACCCGCGCGCGCATACGCGTGCGCGGAAGCGACCGCAGCACGCGTGTGAGCATGCGCGCGGCGGCGCCCGGAGCGCGCGTGGAACGCTCCGGCGCACGCGTGAAGCGACGCCGTTATGCGTGCGTGACGCGCTGCGAGGCGCGCTTGAAGCGCTTCCAGCGACGCCTCGAATCGTGCCTGAAGCGCTGCGTAGCGCGCACTGCGGAGCGCTCCAGGACGCGCTGCGAGTTCCGGCGACTCGCTGCGAGAATCGTTGGCCGGCAAGCGTTTGCGTCCGGCCCAACCAGCCACCCAACGAGCCACCACGCTGGATTCTTCTCTGAAGCCCTTCTCAGCTCACAAGGATCTATCCGGGAATTGCCCGCCCGGGCCGGGTCGGCCAACTAGCTTCACCCCGCGCCCGAATTCTTCCAGCTCATCGATAACGAAAACTTTATTTACGAGATACCAGCCCCCCTGGCGCGCCTGAATTACTCGCCAGCTTCGCCGTTTTGCTCTTAGGGAAGCTCTATGAGTCATTGTAACGATGCCAGAACTCGGTGTGCTACCAGAGCCAGAACCAACCAAGCATTTGTTCTCTGCTTGTTGATTTGGAGGCATGCAACCAGACAGCCCACAATAACCCCAAGACGGCCCAACACGGGCCAGGAGGGCCCCAAGAGATTCTCAGGAACGCCCCAAAGCCCCCCAAACGGCACAAACAAGTCGAATGTCGGCCCAAGATGGCGCCGAGACGGCCAAAGAAAACTCCCAAATATTCTCACGACACGTCCGGACAGCCTAAGAAGACCCCATAAGCCCACAAGAGGACTCAAGGGGCCCCCCAAAACCCTTCAACAAGCCCCAAGACAACCCCGCGTGGCGCCAGGAACCTCCAGGGTAACCCGATAGGGTCACCATGACCAGCTCCTGATTCAACGTCCTTCTCCAATTGCCTCTTATTGTCCTCCGTCGTCGTCGTCGTCGTCGTCGTCGTCGTCGTCGTCGTCGTCATTGTCCTCCTCATTCCTCCTCGTACTCGTCCTCGTTCTCTTCGTCCTCGTCCTTGTGCTTCTCTTCTGCCTCGTTGTCCTCATTCTCCTCCTCGCTATCCTCATGTTCTCCTCGTCGCCCTCGCCTTCCTTTCCTTTCCTTCTTCTTCTTCGCCAGATGCGCCCATTGGAATAAAGCGGCGCTTCCCGTTCTTGTCCGATCAGGTTCTAGCACGTTTCAACTTGCCAGGGGGCACGGTGACGGATTCTTGTTTTTCGTCCGCCAGAGATTCTGCGTGTTTCGAGACGTGGTGGCGAACGAAAGCTGGCCAGCCGTTTGTGCTCGAGCAGCATGAGTAGCATTACCCAAGCGCTTGCAGAGAAGGCCCAAGGGGGGGGTAAGAACGACGGGCAGGTCTACAGCGCGAGGCTCCATCATATTCCTCTGTCGCCAGGCCGCGTAACTGGAAGAATAGGAAGAGATGGAGAGTTGAGCTTATTCGCAAAGGGCAATCTTTTCTTTGCATCGGTTGGGTGGAATGTGCCCGCAGTGGGTGGACGAGGTTGAAGGATTGGTGATTCGCTTCGGGTCCACAGGAGTTGGACGGGGTGCGTGCAGAAGGTAGGGGGGAGGAGTGGAGAGCATTCTCTTCTCGATCACCAGTGCGATGGTCCTCCACTCCATCTGGTGCTGTGGGGGCAGATCAGGACCGGGCGTTGTACGGGAAGGGCGCGGACTTCATCTCAGGCAAGGTCGTCAGCACCGGGAAGCAGCAGCGCGGAGGCCAGCGGAGCGGGTTCCACAGCAGGGCGCCGCTGTTCCCTGTTGCCCTTCCCCATTGCCTCCTCGACAGCGGGGGGGCGGCACGACCATCACCTTCGGAGGTCCGCGCGGATTGCTTGGGTCGGCTCTGGGCCCCCCTGCGCAACTCCCTGGCGGCGCTTCCCTCACCTCCCCTTCGGAGTCCTAGAGATTGACACCAACACCAAGACCGGCGGTGTGCCTCCACCGAGGGAAGACGATCCCGATCTCGGTGATGGTGGTAATATTCTGGCTTCCAAGGTGACCGAAATATTACCACCAACACCGAAATCTAAGATCATCATCTCCCTGTGGAGGCAAACCCCTGTGCTGGTGTTGGTGCCAATTTCCAGGCCTCCAACCCTTGACACTCTCCGCGCTGCGTCTTCTCCTCGTTTCCCTTTCTCGTCAACGCCGAATCACGCAGGCGGATGGCACGGCCTCGTCGGGACCTTGAGGAAGTCCGAGTCGTCCTGGCGGCGGCGCAGCTGCTTCGCTCCTGTTGCTGCCGTGTCAAGATACAGGGCTTTGTTCCGTTCCCACTCCTCTGCTGTCGCCGAGAGTGGTAGTGGGGAGACAGGGAGACCACCCAGGCGCGTGAGACGGGCGGTGGGCGAGAGGTGAGGGTTCAACGTGCCGAGATGAGGCTGGAGTTGAGGACGGAGCGAGAAAGTGGGGACGAGGGAAGGAGCAAGAAGAGGGGGCAACGAGGAAGATCACCTTCTCTGCCTTCGCCCGCACTGCTGGTCGCAGGGCCGAGACTGAAGTCGGGCACAGACCTCTGGAAGCTGCAGCACATTCAGGCCTACGGCAGGTCGACGCCGTACCTGGACGCCCAGCAGAACGCAGAGGGGAGGAGGGGCGCGGGCAGACGCCGCCGCAGGAGGGAACGCGCCCGCGCCACGCCGCCCGATCACTGCTGTTTCGGTACGTGGTGTTTTGCTTGCGGCGCAGCCGATTCGTGGGTTCGTCATGGTACGTGTTGCGCAGTGGGTTGGACGTAGGCAGGGCGGCCTACCTTCTTTGGGCTCGATCAGCTAGGGCGCGGTTCAGCGTACGCCAGGCATGTAAAAGCGCTCGACGGGGAAGCGGCACCCTGTGGGGTACGCGAGCCTCGTGCGGGGCGCTCGCGACGTTCTGGACGAGAATGCACGCACGCATGTGCGCGCGGCGGGCAGGGCGAGGACAGGTATGAAGTCGTTCCAGAGCGTGCCAGAACGCTCTCAGAGCGTTCCTGAACGCTCTGAGAAGGCCGCGGCGCCCGATACCTCCTACAGAACCGCTGGATCTCAGAGATCCCCGATCTTTCCCTGTCCGATTTTGTCCCTGTCCTGGCTTCGTTTTAGCGTGCGGATCCGCCAGCGGTGCCAGCCTCGTATTCTGCTCCTCGGCATCTCCTCCGCTCTTCTCGCTCTCTTTCTCTTTCTCTCTCTCACTCTCTCTCTTCCAGGATGTAGGCTCTCTTGCTCCCCTGCATGGGAAGGAAGAGGGCATCGGGCACTGATTTAAGCTTCTGGCTGCGCGCGACGTACGGAATCGGGCTGACCTTGCGACGGGGCTGGACAGGCCTGGAAGCTGGCCAAGCGTGATGCTTTGGTAGCTTCCTGGAGAGATCCCATTCTTATGGCCTCGCAGGGGATTCGCCAAGAGGGCTGCGGTGGCTCGGGCCGCGAACGCTCCACGGTGGGTCAGCATCTTGGGTGACAGGCCGGTTGCAGCGGCCACGGCGTGATCTCAGCTGCCGACTAGGTTCTATGCTGGAGGGCGAAGCCTACCTGCTTCTAGAAGACCGACGTCTGGGGCCGATGCCAAATACTGCCCTCACGTCCCAGCCACAAGCGTCTACGGGCACATTGGGTGTCGTGACATCCATTGACACTTTCGAGGTGGATAGGTCTATGGACAACGTGGCCGTTGCGTTCGGCGCGGTGCAAGGTCGGAGAAAAGATCGATCCGTCTACGGTATATTCCTGTTGTAGAGCAGGTCCCACATGGTACTCCAAGTTCTATGTTTTGACGTATGAGGTTCGTCATCTGCGGCATTCAAGCCGGTTGCAGCGGCCACGGCGTGACCTGAGCTGCCGACGAGGTTCTAGGTTCTGACGCATAAGGTTCCGCCTCTGCAGCATCTTTTTAAATAAGGAAGAGCACCATGAGCATAAACTGTCGGAGGTCAGCGCGGCTTTCTTAGCGCCGCGCTGAGCCCTTCTCCCCGGCGAGCGGAGCCGGAGGCGCCGCCAAGGAGGCGGCGCCAGAGGCGCCACCAGGGGGGTCCAGCGCCGATGCAAGAAATCCCCGCCGGGACCTCCTGCAGTTCTTGGTTTCTGTCTTCTGGATGTGCCGTCGTTTTTCTTAAGGAGTGGCGCGATTCTACGATAAATTGCAAGGAAGTCCCCAGCGAGAGCGCGATTCTTTAATGAATTGCTAGTAAGTTTCAGGTTGGAGCCGTTGTTGGTGTAAACTGGGGGCCAGAGGCACAGTTTGAGCAGGAAGACTTCCCGGTAAAAAACAGCGAGCCCTGGGAGGGACCTTTCAATTGAAAAGACACGTATGTTACGCGAATGCGTGAGTCCTGCGTCGTTCGCGAGGAAGTCTCGGGCGAGAGCGCGATTCCTAAGTCAATTACGAGGAAGTCCAAGGCGACAGCGCGATTCCTGAATGGCGAGGGCGTGGCGCCTGAATAAATTGCGAGGCAGTCACAGGCGAGAGCGCGATTCTTGGATAGATTGGAAGTCCCTAGCGAAAGCGCGATTCCTCAGTAAATTGCGAGCCGTTGTTGTTGTTGTTGTGGTCCAGGGACCAGGGGCGCAGTTTGAGCAGCAATATTTTCCCTGATAAAAAAGTGCGAGCCTCAGGAGGGGCACTTCAATTGAAACATACACACATGCATGTTACCGGAGGGGAGGGTCAACAATAATCATTCCTCAGTAATGAGAGTTCAACAAAACAGCACCACCACCAACAACAACACCGCCACCACCAACAACAAAACAACAACAGCAACAAACACAACAACACCACCAACACCAACAATCATTTTAATACCGTTCGCTCTTGTCTGCTCGCGGGCCAGTCAACGCGTGTATCTCAAACCCTCGATACCGCCCTCTTCGTCTTCGATCGTACCCCCCTTGGGCTGATCGATTTTTTTGGCCTGCAACGTGTATTTCGTGCAGCACCTAAGGCAAGGGCAGACAGGACGGATGGAAGGAAGGGACAAGTTGGATAGAGAGAAGGATGGAGCAGGAGAGAGAGCGGCAGGAGGGGGGCTCGTAACAGAAAGCATGTGGCAGAACCCAACGGGCAGATCGGGCGGGTAGACCGTAACAGGCGGGCCCAGGCGGCCAGGTCGAGCAGGCGGGTTGCTGAAGAGTGCGTCCTGCGTGAATCGCGAAGAAACCTTGAGCGACAGCGCGATTCCAAATCAACCTCGTGAGGGAATCCACAGCGAGAGCGTGATTCCTGAGTGTCGAGGGCGCGGCGTCCGAATAAATGGCGGGGAAGTCCCACGCGAGAGCGCGGTTCCAGCATAGAGCCGAGCTTGATTTTTCAACAGATTGTGAGGAGATATCAGGCGGGAACCGTTGTTGTTGTAACTCGGGGGCCGGGGGAGGCTCAAGACTTTCCTTGATAACCAAAACAGGGTGCGAGCCCCGGGAGGGGCACGTCAATTGAAACATGCAAGGTGCAGCGGGCAGGAATGGTCAACAATCATCATTCTTCAGAAATTAGAGTTCAACAGCAACACCAACACACGAACAACAGCTACAAAAACAACATTTTAGTATTGCTCGCTCTTATCTGCTCGCGTGCCATCCAACACGTACATCCCAAACCCTCGATGCCCGCCCTCTTCGTCTTCGATCGTGCCCTTTGGGGGGTCTGATTTTCTTAGTTGCAACGTGTAGTTTATGCAGCCCGTACTGCAGGGGAAGAAAGGACGTATGTAAGAGAGGGACAATGGGGAGGGAGGGTGGTGAGGACGAGAGCGAAAAAGTAGCACTAAAGGGGGCTAGGAGCAGAAAGCATGTGGCAGAACCAGACGGGCAGAGTCTGCGGGTAGACCCTGACAGGCGGGTCGGGAAGGCGGGCCCAGGCGGCCAGGTCGAGCAGGCAGGTTGCTGAAGCGTGCGTCTCGCCTGAGTCGCGAGGAAGTTTCAAGCGTTAGCGCGATTCCCGATTAAGACGTGAGATAAGCAGAAGCGAGAGCGTGATTCCCGGATGTCGAGGGCGTGGCGTCTGAACAAATGGTGAAGATGCGCGAGCGCAATTCCTGCCTACGTTGTGTGGAAGTCCCGCGCGAGAGCGCGATTCTGCAGCACACGGTGTGCGGAAACATCCGGCGGGGACCGTTGTTGCTGTAACTCGGGGGCCCGCCGCCTAGTCTGAGGCTCGAGACCTTCGGTGGGAAAAAACAGGGTGCGAGCCCTGGGACAGGGGCACTTCCACAGGACAACTACACTGGTTACTGGAGGAGGGGCATCAACCACATCTGTTCGTCCAAGACAATGGTTCAAGAACATCCGCAGTGACAGCAATAAGAACAGCAGCAGCAGCAACAATGATTTCAACGTTCTTCGCTTTTGCTCGCTCGCGTGCGATTCAACACGTATTTCCCAAACCCTCGGCACCCGCTTCTTCGTCTTCGATCGTGCCCTTTGGGGGTACATCTTCTTTACCTGCCGCGTGTACTCGGTGCAGCCCCCGAAACAGGGGAACAGACGGATGGAAAGGGGAAGGGACAGGATGGTGCACGGGATTCGCAGGAGGGGGGCTAGGAACAGGACGCACTCGGCAGATCTAGACGGGCTGTTCGAGCTGGTAGACCTTAACGGGCGGGTCGGGAAGGCGGCCCCAAGCAGGTCGAGAAGGCGAATTGCTGAAGCGTGGGTCCTGTCTGAATCGTGAGGAGGGCTTGAGCGATAGCGCGATTCCCGAGTAAATCGCGAGATAAGCAGAAGCGAGAGCGTGATTCCTGGATGTCGAGGGCGTGGTGTCTGAACAAATGGCGAGGAAGTCCTACGCGAGAGCGCGATTCCTGCATACAGTGTGAGGAAGTCCAGCGCGAGAGCTCGATTTCGGACTGAACCGTGAGGAAGAATCAGGCGGGGGCCAGGGGCGCAGTTTGGTGACCCCCCGCTTTCCCTGAGGAAAAACAGGATGCGAGCCCTGGGAGGGGCACTTCAATAGGAACAAACAACAACATGTGCCCGGGAGGGGGGAGATCAACTCTAATTGTTCTTCAGTAGTGAGAATTCAACACCAACAGCATCAACACCATCACACACAAACAAACAAACGACACAAACAAACACACATAATCATTCACACACAAAACACCACACAAACAAACAAACAACCAACCAAACAACCAAACAACCAACCAAGCGAACAAACAAACCAACAAACATCAGCAGCACCAGCAACACCAACGACGATCCCACTCGGTTCTTTGTCAACGTTTTGGCATCGCCCGTTGAAGGGCGCCCAGGCGGCCCCAGGAGGGTTCAAGGCCCTTGCAGAGGTGCCACAAGGATCCCGAAGAGGCGCCAGTAAACTTCCAGGAGCGTCCCAAGAGTCCGTCGGATGGCCTAAGGGATTTTTCAAACGGCCCAAGAGGGCGCCCAAACGGCCCAAAGAGGGTCCCAAGTATTTGAACCGAAGATGGCAAATTACCTCGTCAGAGGTATTAGCAAACCAGTTTCGGGCGGGAGATTTGGCAAAAGAAATGTCGGGGCCCGCGATGCATGAAGTAATCCCCCCCATGGAGAGGGAACTCTCATTATGAAAGTCTGTTGGGTATTAAGTCCGCTAGAATTTAGGTATAATGATTGCATTTTTATTTTTGAATAATAAGTATCGTTGATCCTCCCGTGCCCATGGAGTTGTTCCAATTGAAGTGCCCATCTTGTGGCTCGCATTTTTTTTTACACGGGAAGGTCTTGCGCGTCAGATTGGGTTGTTGGCCCCCAATTTACAACAACAGCGGCTCCCGATTGATTCTTCTTCACAGTTTGAAACACGTTTTCGTGTGGTATTCTAGGATCGCGCTCTCGCTTCGTATTTCCTCACGGGAATCGCGCTATCGCTATAGACTTTTTCGCGATTCATGCAGGACTGACGTTTCAGCGACCCGCCCGCTCGACCCTGTCGTCTGGGTCCGCCCGCCCGAACCGCCCATTAGGGTCCGCCCGCCCGAACCCTCCGTCTGGTTCTGTCGCTTGTTTTCCTGCTCCTGAGCCCCCTCCTGCTAATCTTTCTCGTGCTCCATCCCCCTTCCCCTCGCCACTTCTCCTGTTCCCTCCCCTCCCGCACTCCTCTCCTCCCTGCTGCAGTACGTTCTCTCCTGTCCTCCTGCTCTTCCTGTTCTGGGGGCTGCGCCGACGGCACGTCGCAGACACAGAAGACGCACGACGCACCCGAGCCGCGCCGTGGAGGCGCAGGCCCCCGAGGCAGGAAGCGAACCGGGCAGGACTGCTCGGCAAGCGCCCCGGGCCCATAAGAGCAACCGCAGAGTTTTGCACAGAGGTTCTGGACGCCCGAAATGGGTACCGAAAGAATGGGTACCGTGCCCAGCAGCAGTTCCTGTTCATATTGAACAGGATTCGCTGTCCACGTCGCCGCGGCCTGTGTCCACTCGAGACAGAAGGCCGCCTGCCCAACAGCGGCCGCTGATGGTTTGGGACAACATTTCTTGTTGGGCATTGTACCCATTGTTTCCGTACCCATTTCGGGCGTCCAAAGAGGTCCCGGGCGGCTCCCGCCCCGACGGGGGGGGCGCGCTGCCTCGGGCGCGGAGGGCCTGTCGTGGCCGCGGCGGGCCTCGGCCACGGGCGGACTCCTCGGAGGCGTTCTCGGGGGCATCCCTGGGCCGGGCGGCCACAGAGCGGGGGGGGGGTCCGGTCGAAGACGGCGAGGGCGGGTGCCGAGGTTCTGCGGGTGCGTGCACGCCGAAGCGGCGCGCGAGCAGCGCGGAGCGAGCAGTCTTGTCTGCTTCGCCCCCCTGCTGTCCTCGAGGACTCGAGGGCGAGTCATTCACTCCGCGGGCTGCTTGCCGTCGTTGTGCCCTGCTGCTTCTTCTTCTGCCTGCTTCTTCTGTCTGCTTCTATCCTTATATCTGCTTATCCTGTCCTATCTGCTCGAGGGAGCAGGCCTTCTCAGACCACGGCGGGGCTTCTCAGAAGCCCCCGCGCCTTCCGAGAAACGCCCTGCGCCTCCGGAAGAGGGCCCAGGAAGCCTTTCAGACGGCCCGAGGCTTTCCGAGCCTTCGGAGGAGGCCCGCCTCCTCTCGCTCCCCCCCTCGCGCTCGCCGCCGATTCGGATCCTGGGGCCCTTCATCGTGCATTTGGTTTCCTCGATCCCTCCGACGAGCTGGCTGGGGAGGGGGGCATCGCAGGGCCGCAGCCCGGCCGCCGGCCTTCGAGGAGTACGGCGCGCCCGGGTGGCTGTACAACAAGGTGCCGCGGGGTCGGGGAGAGGCGGTGGTCCCGTACTGCGACCTGGCAGACTCGCTTCCCCAGACATGCTCTCACAGTGAGGAAATTAGGACGGGAGGGTGCTGGTAGTTTTCGCGTTCTGGGGGCCTTCGCCAGGCCCTGGGACTGTGGAAAAACGACCCGCGATGGAAGACCGGTCCTGGGAACAGGGTGGGGACTTCGGGGGGGCTTGTACGGAACATTCCAGACGTCGCATGTCTGCCATGGTGTTACGGCGCACCTGCTCCTGCACATCCACTTCGGCACCGCCTGCACCCCTGGGCCTCGCCCACTCCGGCCGCCTGTGGCCCCGCCTTCCTGTGCCCTGTCTCCCTAATTAAAGCTGTGCGTAGCCCGCCTAGCTTTTAGCGGAAGAGGCTCGCTCTCGCCCCGCAGATCAAAATGTTTGCCATGGTGCAAGCCGGTCCTGAGGGCACTGGCTCCCGAGGTTTCCCGGGTTTTGGGGCCTCGCGGGGCCCTCTCCCCAGGGGCCCCGGAGCTGTCAGAGAACGGGCTCAGGGCGAGCAGCTGGTCGTGCGGGAAGGCCCTGGGGTCGAGGACCCGGTTCCTTCAGGACCCGCCTGCTTCATGCCAATGTTCCCGTTGTGCTCAGGCGCTAGCGTTTGGAGTAGGAGGAAGAGGAGGAGGAGGAGGAGGAGGAGGAGGAGGAGGAGGAGGAGGAGGAGGAGGAGGAGGAGGAGGAGGAGGAGGAGGTGGAGGAGGAGGAGGCGGATGAGCGGGAGGATTCGCAGGAGAAGAGAAGAAGGAGGAGGTGGAGGAGGTGCGAAGGAGCAGGAGTAGGACAAGAGGACAATGATGATGATGATGATGATGATGATGATGATGATGATGATGCTGATGATGATGACGATGATGACGATGATGACGATTATGATGATGATGATGATGATGCTGATGCTGATGCTGATGCTGATGCTGAGGCTGATGATGATGCTGATGCTGATGCTGATGCTGATGATGATGATGATGATGATGCTGCTGCTGATGATGAGATGATGATGATGCTGCTGCTGCTGATGATGATGATGGTGATGATGACGATGATGATGATGATGATGATGATGATGCTGCTGCTGCTGCTGATGATGATGATGATGATGATGATGGTGGTGGTGGTGGTGGTGATGATGATGATGATGATGATGATGATGATGATGATGATGATGATGATGATATGATGATGATGATGATGATGATGATGATGATGATGATGATGATGATGATGATGATGATGATGATGATGATGATGATGATGATGATGATGATGATGATGATGATGATGATGATGATGATGATGATGATGATGATGATGATGAGTAGGAGGAAGAGAAGGAGGAGGGGGAGGAGGAGGAGGAGGAGGAGGAGGAGGAGGAGGAGGAGGAGAAGGGGGAGGAGGATGAGGACGAGGACCTCCTCGCGACGCCCTCCAGGCTTTCTCGAAGGCTGCAGGGGGAGTCGGTTGTGGGGGGGGGGCCCCCCGCGTCCCCCCGGGGCCCCCGCCCCCTCCGCACCGGGGAAGGGAAAAGGGAAGGGGCTTCCCTTCGAAGTATTGACGACGTTCAATCAATTGCTTGGCACGGCATGTGCAAGGAAGAGGACTCTGCTGACGGAGAGCGGGAGAACGGTGAGTGGAAGCTGGATGCGGCTAGAGAAAGTCGAGCAGGAAAGAAAGCACGACGCGAACGGAAAAGCCCCTCACACACGCCGATTTTGGTTTTCGGCGCCCCTTTGGTCTTCGGCGCTCTAATTGTTTTCGGCGCCATTTGGTTGTCGGCGCCCGTTTGGTTTTCGGCGCCCCTTTGGTTTTCGGCGCCCTTTGAGTTTTCGGTGCTGCTTTGGTTTTTGGCCCTCCGCTTCAAGCCCCGGCGTTCAAGGTGGCACGATCCCCTTGGTGTCAAGACCCAACGTTGGGGTCGACACGACACGAAGGTGTACGTGAATTATTGACGCTTCGTGAATCCCCACCAGCCCATCCAGAAACGATGCCCAGAGGAATTGCCTCGATCAGGGAAGCGGGCAGCACACATAGGAAGGGTCCCCCAGTGGAGGTTTCTTGGAGCGTCTTGGGGGCCTCTTGGCGGTCCCGGACGCATCTTAGAGCGTCTTGGGTGCCTCGGAGAGCTTCTTGGGGCCTCTTGGGGGTCTCTTGGGAGCCTCTTGGGAGCCTCTTGGAGGCCTTCTGGGCGCCTGTTGGGCCTTGGTAAAACCAATGATTTTGGCTTCCTCGCCGAGGCCGCTTTGGACGCTCCGACGACTCGCGAAACCCCCCGTCCAGGTCCATGGGGAGGGGGTAGGGGGAGGGTAAGCCCTCCCCGAAGGGGAAGAAGGAAGGGTTGGAAGAGGAAACTTCTAAACCACCGACGCCCAGAGGGCTGGTGGGATTCAGTGGGGGTGCGCACTCAGAGGCCGTGTTGTTTTCGTCTGGGTGCCTTGGGTTTCTTCGTTCCCAGCGATGCGCGGTGACTTCCTTGGTCGTTGAGAAAGTACAGCTCCCTGGGTACCCGGGGTTTCTGCACCAATTGCACCTTGCGTTTCTCGAAACGTCTCGGGCCAGGATACCTTGGGTTTCTCCGATTGGAGCCCTTGACAGAGAAACCCAGACCCTGTGCAAGGCACTTGCTGGATTTTCATGCGGATGTTTCTTGCGGCCGCGTCCCCACTCTAGTTGGCGCCTTCCGACAGGAGCCATAGTCCACCCCACCCGTTCGGTCCGCATCCCCGGAATTCGCTGCCGCACTGTCGTCCCATCCCCTGCGCTGGCAGGTATAATCGGGAAGTCTTCCCGATAACTGCTGCAGTTCTTGTTTCGTGTCTTCGACCTCTTCGCCTGTTCGTGTCTTCGACCTCTTCGCCTGTTTCGTGTCTTCGACCTTTACGGTCATTCTTTCGTTCGTAGTTTATCCCCGACGATGCTACCCGTCGAGCAGCCTGATCATCGACTTACATACAACGCTCCGACCAGTTATCGATCAACCGCCACATGCGTTCACAGGAGACCCATAACCCAGGTGCTAATGCCGATTTCGTTGCCCAGATGCCTTCAGTGTGGTGTGACCCCCTCGCCGACCTTTCCAAGCGATGAGGTGAAAGAAGGACGGAGGGTGAGGGCGGGGTTTCAGAGAGGCAGAACGAGGAGGATCAGGAGCATGCAGGGATGGATGGATGGAAGGATGATGGGAACCGCCGTTGCTTTGAAGCGGACACCCGCCACGTTTGTTTTGGGAATAGTGTGAGGTACGTGTTGTCAAGTGGCCTTGGTGGTCCCGAAGGCTGGATAATAATTTGCTGGAGCATGTGGCGCGCAAATTGCAGGAGCGGAAGCTGTATTTTAACATCGAGTCGGGCAAGACTTATTGGGTGGACCAGAAGGACGGCAGGTACAAGGAGGTCTTTGGCGCATCCACCGCTGCCGCTGCAATGAGTGCTGTCATTTTACAATCTCTGGGCCTTCTTGCTGCTCTTTTGGAGCCCTCTAGAGCTTGCTGGAATCTGCTGAGGGCGGTACAGGAGTGACAGTTGTCCTTCTGGTAGGCTATCGGGTCACGCAGAAGCTGCTCAGGGTCATTTCGAGTCATCTCACTACGGAGTATCCTGGAAACATGGACCACCTTGATTTACGCGGGAACTGGCGAGCGCGGATCCCCCCAAACTTGGCATCCTCTCGATCCGTATTGTGAAGGCTTTACGGCCGGTGCCGCCGATCCTGTATGCGAGGAGGACAGGAAGATGGAACAGGTGGACGATGAGGGGGGCCTCTTGGGTCTTCCGGAGCCTCTTGGGGGTCTCTTGAGAGCCTCCTCCTGAGGGCCGCTTGGGTTTTCCTTGGGGCCTCTTGGGGGGGCCTCTTGGGGGGCCTCTTGGGATCTCTTGGGGCCTCCTGGGAGGCTCTGGGGCCGAAGGTTCCAGAGCTCCTTTTCGAGTTCCCTATGTGGGCACACTCTGGGAGCCGTCTTGGGGGCCTCTTGGGCCGTCCTGGAGGCTTCTTGGGCTGTTCGGGGCCCTCCTGGGTAGATTCGGGGCCCTCTCGGAGACTTCCTCGCTCTGCCGCCGGCCGCCGAGCCGGGACGTGCCCGCTGCCGCCCTGCCCGGAAGTGCCGCCGGCGGCCCCCGCCCAGCGGCCGCCTTCCCGTCGCGCGACGTGAGCGCCCGTCGCGCGAGTCGTGAGCGCTCTCTGCCGCCAAGGCAGCCCCTCCTCCTCCTCCTCCTCCTCCTCCTCCTCCGTCGCCCACCTCGCCCCTCCTCCGTCGCTCACCTCGCCCCTTGTCCGTGTCCCTCCTCCGTCGCTCTCCTCGCCCCTCGTCCGTGCCCCTCCTCCTCGCGCGGCCTCCAGGAGGTCTGGCCGCTCTCTCCCGCGGGGCCCTGCTCCGCGGACGCCCGAGACTGCGGCAGGCTCCTGCGGGCCGGCGACGCCGGCGAATGCCTTCGAGGTTGAGCTCTGCGACGCGGAAGCTCCAATGGACACGGTAGCGCCACTGGACCCCACAGAATTCAACCTTGAGCCTCGGCAGGCGGTGTATAGGGACATATTCGGGCCCCTCGGGGCCGAAACATAGCCATCTCCACCGCCCGCTGGGGCACCAGGACGTCGGTTCCCAGGCGGTGGATATGGGTAAATCCCCGCCTCGCATGTTTGACTTTATCCATATCCACCGCCTGGAGGGTCAGCTTTCGGAGCCTCGGCAGGCGGTGTATAGGGACATATTCGGGCCCCTCGGGGCCGAAACATAGCCATCTCCACCGCCCGCTGGGGCACCAGGACGTCGGTTCCCAGGCGGTGGATATGGGTAAATCCCCGCCTCGCATGTTTGGACGCCC